TCTGAACACGCTGTGAGTTATTACAGTCAGTTCAGGTGGGGTCTTTTGAACATACTTTTACAGAAATTCCTTCATCTTTTCCCTCATTCCGTATAACGCCTGATGCACCGACGTATACACCGCGTAACTCGTTTTATAGAATATTCAGGGCAGGAGATGATTCGCAAAATTTCTACCAAACGAATGTGTTTTCTTCTATGTTTACCGACGTTGTTGACATTGATGCGTGGCTTTATTTGCACTGTTACAGGAAACTCAGTATCACGACGAACCGGCCAGATGATGCATGCCTTCTGATCGCTTCTGTGGAAAGCGATGACGATGTGGCATCCTTAAAGTATTGGAATGCCGGTCGAAACCACGTTCTACTGAACATTGGAAAAGGGTCGTTGGCTAATTACCCGAATGCAATCGTGGTTTCCGCTTCTTTTCATCCAAAGTAAAATTTATGCACGATTTCGGAGTATGAAAAATTATCATTGTATTGGCAAAGATGGGCAAATATCGTTGTACGGCGAAATTATTAACTTTCCAAGTTAAGTAGTGTCCAAAATGTGTTAGCAGTAGGGAGGGCAACGCCACATTAAACTGATTCTACTATTTCTGGTGTTTAAAGTGGTAAATGCAAGTCGAAAGGCACAAGTCGATAAAAAATTGACAGCTGCATGGATTGAGGCTATAAATTATCTAATTATTCCGAATACGGGCTTTTCCGCTGAAGCCAAACATTATTATTGTAAATATAATCTATAAAATATTAAATATCAGCCCTTTTAATTTTAGATCTCCCTTTCACCTTCCTTCACCTTTTATCGAGGCTAAAACAATCGGCTCTCTTTTCTTCACAAAACCCTTTGCTTTGTATCCTGCAATTAATCACCCTTTATATTGGGAGTGAAACGTCTAATGCCTAATATTGTGATCTCTGTGATTATATGTCTTTGTTACTAGCGCCAGACAGCGGCAGACACAAAGGAGGTCTAAGATGAAGCTCTCTTCCTGCTCTCCCCCCAGACGGGGCAAGGAACTGCATAAGCCCTCAGTTTCCTTATTCGTGGACTGGATCATCTGGGTCATCAGCATCATCGGGGAGAAGCGTCGGCAGCACCAGTCATCAGCATCGTCACCCTCGGCACTCCACATCTTGTACAACACTACAAAAAAAAGTCTACTTTTGGAGAACCTCGCCACATCCGGGTCTTGGCTGTTCCCTTGCGACTGATGGTACTCCTCCACGACATGCGTACGTGACGTGGTTTTCTTTCCTTTACGCTGCGTATAACGGATAAAGCCTCTTGCTAGCCAGCTACCGCCATACACCCATTAGTGTCGCATCTTTACTTTATGTTTAGAGGGAGGTGACAACCTATGGAGTAGGTGAAAGGTATAACCAGAACTGTGAGGGAGAGGAAAGGAGGGAAGAAATGTTGTACAAGAATTCCAATAATTGGTAGTATGATATGACATCGGTGATAGCGATCTTGGCAAGTTTCGTAGATGGCTCTAAGGTGGATCACGATGAAGCATTAGCCATAATTAGCTTGGTCGAACAGCTTTTCGCTGGATGCTACCGCAGATGATTCAAGTATCTTGCCGTATTTCGTTACGTTGTTAAGTTTAGAAGTCTTTTTTTTTGTTCCTTAAAGATTTTTGTTGCTTGCAGGTTTTTCAAAGAGGATTTCGATTTTTCCTTAAATTTGAGAGTTCCTGACTACGACAAAAACCATTGGAAACAGTTACCGGCTTTATTACCTTTGGCACGAAAAGTAAGTATTTTTTGTAGAAGGCGCCGGTAATGAATATGCTGTGAAAAAAATAGCTTGAATGAGTTAGATAAAAGTGCTATTATTGTTGCATTTTCAAATCAGACTTTGTGGAAGCAGCAGCTTCTGGTGAGGCTTTCACAGTGCACCATTCTGATTTTGGGCAAGAAAATTAAAAAAAAAAAATGCTCAGCGGGCCTAGAGCAAGGGTTAAAAGGTCGTTAAAACAAAAAATTTCGTTATAAGACTTTATCACCATTGAATTTTTGACTCCTCACAGTACTTTATCAAATTCTTGTCTTGCCATTATGTACAGCCTTATTTAATCTCGGACGCGTCTGTGGTTTGTTACCGAATTCGTCCGAACCGTCGCTATAGCCCTCGATGCTTTGCGCCAAGCAAATTTATTATTAGCCCTTCCGTTCTGGCCTTAATTTTGGCTTATATGAATGGACGCACTTTTTGAGCGCAGTTTTGCTGATTAGTAATTTTTCCTTGCTTGAGCATTACCGAACAAAATTGCTATTAGTAATTTGAACAGCGAGGGATTTGCATTTTGTAACATCAGAGATTTGCATTTACTGAAAGCTTTATTTTTCACTTATACTTGTATTTTTGCGAGAATGTTTGCCAACTTTAAAACTGATATCAGTGATATCACACTCCAGTGTTGGCCAGTCCTCCGCATACCAAACTCTTGCTGCGCAATTTTAATGATTGAGCACTGAGAACATTTTGCAGAATGAGGAACTGAATGCTGGAAGCACTTTGCGGAAGAGGAAGAGTTGAAAGGAGGGGCTGGGAAGATGAGGGGGAGAGTTTGACGGACTGAAATATTCTGAACTGAAAATGCTGTTTTCATCGTTTGCTTTATTTAGTTGCAGTAGAAGCTAAAAAAGGAACGTTGTATAATCGTGAAAATCACAATAATGATAAAAACTCACGATAATTCCAGTATTTAATATCGCATGTGAACGAAATGTCGGAGAGGATGTTGTCTCTGGAGAAGCAGCTGCAGCTCCTGGCAGAATCTGCTCAGTCTGTGGGCGATCACATTTTTCTTAATTTTTCTTGTGAGGAAGACTGCAGTATGAGAGGTTTGCTTTTTTTACCAAAATTCAATTTTTTTTTTTTTTGTTCTTTGAAACACAACTTCAGCGAGTATGAATTGTTCGCAGCACCGCTACCGAGAATTTCGATGTTGGGCTTTGATGCCACTGCAGTACATGAATACATTTAATAATTTTGACCCTTTTTTATCTTGCACTGCATGTATGCAATTTCCTGTAAGGGGGAAGGGGGCGGAGGGGTTGCATTCTGTAGCTTGGTGACCAAAGACTTCTCAGGCTGAAGTTAGCTATCAGTGCACTATATTTCAAAAGCATAAAGGAAAGATCGTCATTATGGTGAAGGGATACACTGAAACGGCTGTTCAGAATATATGGATTAGAGGAGTATAAAATGGGGGGGCGAAGATCCCAGCTACATCAACGCCGAAAAGAGCTGTGACGATAAACAGTAGTTGACCAAAGTATCAGAATAAAGT